GAGTTTAGCAGAGGCAGAGTTTATATCCTACCTTACATCTCCATTGAGTAGGTCTTCCCTTTTTTCGTTGATTGGTTTGCGAAAAACGCCTATGGGAAGCACGCCTCTCAACACGGGTTCTTTTGTACCACCCATTATATGCATGGATTGCGACACACACACACACTGATTCACGATTTACATCGCATCACTGCGGTCGTGTATCTAAAGCAGTTGTATCTTGCATACAGTGCACTTACAACACTTTACTCCACGCCCGCTTTCCTACTTGATTGTGCTACTCAGGTAAGCGTAGCTTAACTGCGACCCGGACTCAAATGGATTGCTACCATTCTGTCGCTGTTGATATTGATTGTACGGCTTCGGCGTCATATAGTCTTAACACTCTTATCCTACATAAATCTATCTCGTAGTTAGCTGCCTTGTTCGTTGCTTACGATGGGGCAGTGGAACAACAAGAAATCACTGATAGCTTCCTTTCCTTAGCCTTTCCTGATTCATCTGGTCTTCATTTCAACTACTGTCCTACGATACTTTCTACTGTTACTCATAAGTAGCAGAAAATTAGTTATAATTTTAATATATTTTTCCCAACAACTCACAATCTACGTAGCACAGCCCTCATCTGGAAAAACACCAAACGCGCGTTTCGCCGTACTGGGGCTCGTCACTGTTGCGCATTTTTCGATCACCTGCGGGGGAGTTAACTTATGGCCGTTAGAAGCTGACGCCAACTAGCGAGCAACTTAAGCCATTAAGCTATGGCGCACAGTGCTTGAGCTACAATATTTCTTAATTGACTAGGATATACCGCGACATGTCTTCCACTGTCACGCAAGTTTCTACCAGTGCAGATAGCAGTGGCTAGCCTCCGACTTCATGACTTCTTCTCACAAGATGCTATGTCTATAGGATTCAAAACTAAGAGGGCTGCATTTTATATTACTCATGAGTAAGAGGACCTCTGTTTTAATTTTAATATCTTCGTCCCAGCAGCTCACAAGCGACGTAGCACAATCCCATCCGAAACGCACCAAACACGTGTTTCTCCCCATTGGAGCTCGTCAGTGGTGCTAGCTGACATCATCCTCTAGCTGTCATAGGTCCGATCCGCAGTACAGGATCTAAGGATGCACACCACTGACGAGCCCCAATATGGCGAAATATGCGTTTGGTGCTTTTCCGGATAAGGCTTGTGCTTTGAACCTTGAAGATGTTGAGATGAATACATTAAAAGTACTTTATGTTATATTTGAAACTGGAGACCGATCATCTAATGCGGCTGAATTGAACGATTACTTGCGACCGCCGGTTTTTGCACCACTCAGACACCACGACATTATAGCAACAAATGTATTTGTGCCGGATTTTCTAATGATAATTCATAACTTGGATTCGGAACGATTATGTGGTTTTTAATCAAAGCTGATTTCGTCTAAGTGCAGATATACATCCCTGGTATTTCTACATGAAAACCCTCACTTCGTAAGCGGAATTACAGATACAAACCACTGTTCTCTATTGCTAGTTCATTTTGGACTGCTTCACTGGATAGCTTTTGGTGGCTAATTGAAGGGTCTTTGGTGCGACGCGAAAATGAAACCCCGTGTACGCAGCGAACGGATTATATGCCTGCTCCTAGCACTCTACCCTAAGAACAGTTTTAGTAGTAATAGTAATAACCTCAGCACTCTATCAACTAGACACAGAGCCAACATATAACCACAGAGATCAGCAGATAAGGGACCGTCATCGCGTCATAATCATCGTGGCATGGTAGTTGAAGGTGAATAACACATTTCAGCTAATGTACCACAGGAAGAATGGAACATTTTGACAAAAAGTAGAACAAAACATTTTTAGTTTGTTTCTCACACGCTTGATTTTTCTCTTGTCATTTTCAATGTTTGAAGTATTAATCATGTGAATCAATACAATACTGTACACAATTCTTCCACTGATTCCGGTTGCGCGCCATGTCTTCACGAGTGCTAAGCCATTGGCACTCCTCATTTTTGGGTCACCATCCTGGTAGACGTACGGATCCAACAACGACTAGACACGACGTCAGCGATTTCATGCACTGCCGCCAAGTGGAAGGCTGACCACCACGCGGTCGCCTCCAGCCAGGTCCTTGACGAGCGAATAGAGCGCGACGCGGCAGACACTCAGGTGCCATGCGTAGGACGTGATCGAGCCTTGTCAACTGGCGCAACAAAACCAGTTTGTTGAAGGGAATGCTCGCATTCACCAAGATGTGACGTCGAACGTCATTACTCTTAACTCGATGTTGCCACTAAACACGAACAATCCTCCTTAAGCAATCGTTATCGAAGACAGAAAGACGACGCATCTCTTCTACGAGAATCAGCCAAGACTCGCTCCCATACAACAATACTAAGCAAACTGATGCGCTGTAAACCCGGCCCTTTAGCGAGAATTCGACGTCGCGACGACGCCACAAGGGCCTCAGATTGACAAATGCTGATCGGAATTTAGCGATACGAAGAGTAGATCCTTTGTTGATAGTGCCGTCAGCAGAAACACAGCTCCCAAGGTAGACGAAATTAGCTACCTGTTCAAGTTGTGCACCTTCGAGAGTGAGCACGGGAGCAAGTGAAAGCCAATCTTTGAGCAGTACTTTACACTTCGATGGGACGAAGCTCATGACATACTTAGATGCTACAACCGCCTAACAACCCAGAATAAATTGCATACCCTGAGGATCATCACCAAGTAAGGCGATATCATCAGCATGAGCTAAGTCGGTCACGCGCTTACCCGGTAGAAGCTCTAGGCCAAAATGTTGGAAACCTTCTCGGGCATTCGACAGGCGTCTTCGATTGCGAAGTTGTAGAGGAATGGAGACATAGAGCAGCCCTGTCGCACACCGCTATTGACAGCGAATTGCGAGGAAAGTTTGCCTTAGACCCTCAATCTTCCGAATATATGAAGGTAAAGTGCTCGTAAGATGACGGTATATTTCTCTGGCACCCCGTTCTTTAGCAAGCAACGCCATAAAGTAGGTCAATCAACGAAGTCAAAAGCAGCATGTTTGTCTAGTAATTCCACGATAGTGGGCTTGTGATAAATGTGGCGATGTTCGAGGAGTTGGCGGAGTGTAAAGATTTGATCCACGCATCCACGGCCGGGACGGAAACCAGCTTGTTCTTCACGGTAGTATGATTCACGTACTGGGGATAGTCTGCGAAGCAGTATGGATGCCAATATCTCGGAGACAACCGAAATAAGATTACTCCCGCAATGAGTTGCGCATGAAGTGCGAGCGCCTTTCTTGAAAATCGGGAAAATACCTGATTCGCCCCTAGAGGAAGGCACTTTCTCTTCATTCCAGCTTTTTACGAACAGCGAGGTGAGCTCGTTAATGATCGCCACGCCCCCTTACTTTAATAGCTCCGGAGGTAGTCTGTCTGAGCCGGCACGCTTGAGTCGCTTCAAGCGAGGCAGACTTCAGCTTCGCTGGTTGGATTCAGTGGGACGAGCCAGGGTGGACAACAAGGTGTACTGTACGATAACTATGGTCCAGTTGCTTCACGTCCTAGTGCAGTAGACAAAAAGTCGCACTTATTTCAATCTTACAGTTACTATACTGTCTGCCCCACTCTAATCGACCTTTCAAACACTTATCCTGTTAGTGTAATATTTTGCCATTAACCTAGCCGCACCTCTGAGTTTACATGTTAGTGATCATTGACAGTGAGTCGGAGTATGAATTTTGTTCGTCGTAAATACGGTACAGTTTTGGACAGTTTTGGCAGTCTCAGGCCTCTTTCACTTATCTTCCTTACATCGGAATTATGCAACAAAGTGGTTGTAACCCTGTAACATTAGTAAGAAATATATAAGTTGGATCCGTGTTCCGAAACTAGACGCGTTGCTAAAATTATCAAATGTGCCCTTCAACTTAGTAAATGCATACCGTATGTGCACGGTAACTGCGAGTTAATTCGTTCAATGAACGGACCATTTTTGAAATTCGTGTCACCGATCGACCTTCAAAAAGAAACAAGAAATCCTAATTCCAAAAATTTGTGAAAACCATCTAATGACCCCTCTTCAATAAGGGCACGTATTATTTTCCCAGACTCGTGGAGAACTATCTATCTGGTCTGAAAGCTACTGTGAGGGGCCCTCAAATAATTGCATCAGAAGTACTCTACTGAATGCAGAATTGTCGTAACTCGATCGACCAACTTCCTTAAGAGGGAAGGAATTTCGATCCTTCCAATCAAAATCAATCCGGCTTTTGGGTCGGTCATGCCTTTTTGCTCGCACCTGAAATCCGTCGCATTGACGTACGAACTTGACGAGGTTCCCAACCCTCGCCATTTGGAGCATTTGGGCACTGGTCTTTAAAATGACCCCTCTTAAATCCACCGACATTAATCGATTGCAAGCTGATCTGGTTCGTTCCATCATAAGTGAACTGTACTTCACGGCGAATCTGGGTCGAATTTTGTGCCATACATTTAGCGATAGCACTGTAATTTGGCTACCACCTGGATCCACTACGACGTTCCCCACCTGGCCTATACGCACGTCCCGTGTTCCGCTATTGGGTCGCTTTGCGACGCTTTTATGCATTCGTAACCTGGGGATCGTTTTGCTTACCCACCGCAGGCATCATAATTTCATACTATGAAAATACTCCCGCATTCCCTTTTGATTCAGGCGGGTGTCCAACATACACCTTGTTGCTAATCTGTAGACGCAGACGTGGATGTCCGGCAATCAATCCGATCTGAGTCCACATGCCTGTCTTTTATGCACGAGCCGCGCTTGGAAATAATCATGCCACTATGCGTTTAAACCAGCGAAACTACCAAACGCCTCAACATCTGGGTCAGAATGTCCATTTCAATACCATTGTTTACTGTTTTCCTTATCATACGACTCACTTCGCATTGTACTTCTGCGTTCGCTTGCTCCGCTAACCGCATTTGCATTCTGCCTCTCTCCTTCACCCTGCACACCCACAGCCTCATCGTCACATCAAGGGTGCCGTGGCATTGGACGGGTTGAGCGTTCGAACCTACCACGATCGAACAAAGGAGCACACATTTGAGTTGTTTTCCTTCGGTAACGGTGTGATCAAGGCTAGCAAAGCGGACAGAGATGGCGCAACAACTCCAGGTCAGCACCAAACATTCTGACCCTTCTACCCTGTGTCTCCCTGGCTTGTTTTTGATTTCTGCTGCAGCACTCTGGTCATCTAAGTGCATGGATATCCCTTTCCCCAGTAGATCGTCTGAAATATTTAGGTATCAGTAGCTCTACACAAGTGTGCTTGTATCAGGTTGCACACTCAATCACATGATTACACTAATTATTACCTAAGCGCCCACTTCTGTGGTTCGATTTGTATTCACATTGCTGTCATTGTGACCGCCAGAGGACACTGTCACACTAAGTTGCACACTCACCTCGTCGAATGTGCGTGGATTGACGATGAACATGGGCCGACTCTGTGTCAATCGGTATACTCCCCAATTAGGTGCCGGGGGTGAAGGCGATGGACGCATGGGTCTGTGAACAATACTCGGTTGATTTCTTTTATGTTTCTAACTCCGGACGCAAATACACCCCTTGGTTCAGGGCACCACAACTAGACACTCACTGATCTGGATGCAAGGAATAAAGTTTCTGATCACCTGTTTGGACGTGGTTGGTTCGTTTCTACTTCCTTACTAACACATGTGCAACCGGTCTCTTAATTGACTCCAGACACTGAACAGTGCTACACTTAACTAACATCCGGGTATACTTGCTGAATCGCCTGTTTACACTGCCTGTACTTGAGTTATCTGTGCGGTAAGGTTGGTTGCAACGCTAGTCCGCGAAACCCAAACTAGCTCTCTCGAAGATCGCACCTTCGATTCATGGTTGGCAGCGTCCGGTTCCGGATTTGCTTGTCACTGCGGCCTCCACGGAGACAGCCGCAAGACGCCTGCACATACTGAGGGACCATGGGTGGCTTGCGATGCATCACCCACAGATCCATCCACACACCCTATATTCCCTGTAAACCCGAAGGAATAAGGTCGGGAGGCTTGTGGATGGGAGCCACATTTTATAAACGGAGTCGGTCCACACGGGCAAACACAAGGAAGCTGTATTTGGGAATCAAGCGCACACAAGGCGGTGACTGGACCGTAGTCCGCTCTACACCTGATACATGGAACCGCCCTTTGAGCCTAACACGGCCACAAAGAACGTGCCCCCTCTCCTCACAGCCATTCTTTAATGTCTCCTTGGACCTGTAATCGAGGTGGAGGCTTTTAGAGAGGTAGGCACCTTGACAAAATTCACGTCAAGCTCAGCCACACCGGGGATACCAAACAAGCAAGATAAAATTTAAGAAAAAGCAAACACGCAAAATTGGCACAGAATATGTAGCAGAGTGACAGAATTGAAAAAACCAAATAAAGTGGGATGACTTTTATCCAGATTAAAAAGGTCTAGTTTAAGTGTATATTGGTTTAGCCCAACTGCGGTGAAGAAGCATCATGAATGCAACATCAACCTCAGTATGTGGCCGTCTATTGCGCATGCCAGCACACCGATTCCCGCGATATGCGTTGTTTGCACGCCGCGGGTGTGGATGGAATAAGAGCAGGAGAGGCCAAGCGATGACTTGGTCAAGGGAATTGAAGTCCATCACTTCGAAGTTGGCGTCGGTTGGTGCATCCCGACTGCCTGGCTGTGGACCGAAGCATGCTGAATACATTTGGTTGGATACACCAGCCGACATGGCGAAGAGTTGACTTCAATGGCGTTTAAGTTGTCAGTCTGTTTATTCCTCCTCTTTAGCTTCCCCTCCAACAGTGATCACAAACGTGCTGTTTGCATTAGGTTACTTTTATAGTCTTTGATCCATATTGCTTAATGTCTTACCATTCTTTTTATCACGGAACATCAGCTGACTGATGGTCTACCTACCGCTGCCTCTGTTCTGCCATGGGCTTATGTCCTGGACACCTCGTGGCGACCGCTGGGTTGGAGTTGGGTTACACCCTTATCCTAGCTAAGTGCCAGGACACCAACCCTCATGAATGAACCAATCAGGTGCTAGACCCGCTGCCTTTCGGGTGTACATTTAATCGAAGACTTTAGCTGAGGACCCGTGTCGTTCTCCTGTCAGGTGTGGGCGCTCTGCCAGTATCTTAGTCCAACCTTTTCGGAGGTTAGCAAATGGTCGATGGCCCTCTTCCCGTAAAATTTAGCCATGGGGACAACATGTCTACGGGTTATAAGCTCATAGCTCAATTGGCGTTGAACACGAGCGCCACGCAATGTCTCTGACGGTGGGTGGGCACATATGGGTGCACAATGATTTGCCACTGCCCGCCTCAAGCCAGGCATCCCCTGTTCAAATTGGCGCAAACCTGCCAAAATCTGGCCGTGGTCGCAGGTGCATATCTTACTACGGTTGCAAAACGCAAATGAATTACTCCAGAACTTCAACGACTGCGTGTGACGAACCTTAAGCATATTCCGTTCTGTCTCTGCAATCACATTCCCGAGCTGCTTCCCACTACGTTGTGCGTCAGGCTATTGAGTCAAAGGCTCCGGGTGAAGTCCCCCTAGCAAACCTTCAGTTTACCCACTACCTTGTGAGTCAGGCTATTGAGCCAAAAGCTCCGAGCGGAGTCCCTCAAGTAATCATGCGAAGCACAACCACCACCTCGCGTGTGATTGCCCACCAATGCAATCGCATACCTGCGCGCGAAGCACTCAATATCGGGTTCTGCAACGTACGCACGCTACTGGACCGGAACTCGAATGAGCACCCCAAGCGACGCACTGCACCGGTGAAGATGGACCCGGCTGGCTGAGCATGGTAAGTTGCATGAAGCTGGTGTCGGCTATACGTTCTACTGGGTGGGAACGCCACCTCAGGACCACGGGAACATGGGGTCGGATTTGCATTATACGACCGCCTAAATGACCAGCTGGTGGGTGTGCCCATTGGCATCAGCGCGCGACTGATGACTGTTCGCCTACGACTTGGAAGTGGTAAGTTTGCTACCTTTATACTCACGAGCAGTCCGACCATGTGTTATCCTGATGACATCTGTGATCACATCTACACTCCGTTTTCCTTCGTGATGCGGTCTGTGCCGAGGAGCGACCGACTATTTCTGCTGGGTGACTTCAACGCGCGCGTTGGGCGTGATGCATCGGTGTGGACAGATGTTATCGGTCCGCATGACATTGGTTCAGCGAACGCGAATGGTGGCAGGCTGCTCTCACTGTGTGCCATTCACGGCCTGACGATCACGAACATTCGATTTGCGCTGAGTGCGAGTGACATAGCAACCTGGGCACACCCACGGAGTGTTCACGCTCACCTGCTCGACTATGTCATCGTACATCAGCGTGATATGCGTGAAGTGCGCAGGACACGTGTACTGCGTGTAGCTGAGTGTGGCACTGTTCCAAAATTAGTTCGCACCGAACTGTACATATATTTTCGTAAATCTACGTATTGCACTCCCGCCGTGACTCGGCGTAGATTTAACGTTCTCTCCCTCGATATTGTGGCGAAACGTATTGAGCTGAAGTGGACGATAGCTGCACGACTGTGTTATGTGGAACGTATAGGCACAATGGGCGACCTGTGGCATCACATTCACGACCAAGTGACAGCTGCTGCCGAGGATATCCTCGGCCGCGCAAACTGTAAGCGGCCTGACTGGTTTGATGAGAACAGCGCGACGATTGGCGCATTGGTGTCGGAGAAGAATACAGCATTTGCTGCACATCTGGCAGACCCCAGTGATTTGGGGAAGAAGAGATAGTTTGGTAGAATTCGACGACGACTGACTTGAGAGCTCCGTCGCATAAAATATGCATGGTGGACGGAGAAGGCGATGCAGATGAGATGCTACGCGGGACGTCTCCAACACAAGGAATTCTTTGGCACCTTGAAGGCAGTGTATGGACCGAGTTTGAAGCCGCTGAGGACGCTGCTCGGTGGTAGCTCAGGCGCCACCTGCATACAGACTGCAGACATAATGCAGATCTGGCGGATACACTTTGACTGTCTCTTGAAGAACCGTTCAGAGATCGACTAGTTTATTTTGAATGGCCTGAAGCAGCACGATGTAAAAGTGAATATGGCGGATACGCCGACACTGGATGAGACGCAGAGAGCACTTGCTCAGCTGGGAAACGGCAAGTGTGCCGTGGCCGACGGGATCCCGCCTGAAATACGTCGGACCTGCGTTGGTGACTGCGCTGCACCAATTGGTGCAACGCGTATGGATTGAGAAGGAAGTGCATGCTGAGCTGAAGGATACCCTTGCGCTATCACTTTACAAGGGCAAAGGGAGCGAACAATGTTGCACGAATTACCATGGCATCAACTTGCTGAGTTGTGTGCGCAAGGTGATTACCCGAATCCTGCTCAATCGCCTCATCAGTTAGGTTGTGGAACCTAACGTGGCGGAAGAGCAATGTGGATTCCGTTCAGGTCGCAGCACCATCGATATGGTGTTTGCGGCTCGTCAGGTGCAGGAGAAGTGCAGAGAACGACACCAGCCATTGTACTCGCATTTTGTTGATTTCACCAAAGCATTTGATACGGTGAACCGCGAGGCATTGTGGCTGGTGTTGGGTAAGTTTGGTTGCCCGCGTAAGTTTGTAAGTTTAATTGAATGTCTGCACAGTGGTATGCGAGCGAGGGTGCAGATGAGTGGAAAGACCCCGGAGGACTTTGCAGTTATCTCTGGTGTGAAGCGAGGCTGTCTTATCTCCTGTCCTGTTTAATATATATGTTCATGCAATGTTGTCTTGTGCTTTTGATGCGGCTTGTGCTTACGGTGTTCGTGTGGAGCACCGTATTGATGGTGGGTTGCTGAACATCCATCGTTTCGGTGCGAGAACTCTAGTCTGTGAGACAGTTATCCGTATGTTGCTGTTTGCTGACGACTGTGCGTTGTTTTCACACAGCGCGGATGAGTTGCAGCACATGACTAGTGCTCTGGCTTCGACAGCGGTCAAATTCGGGCTCACCATCAACACACGCAAAACGGTCTGTCTCTTTCAGCCTTCACCGGAGGTGCAATCTTCAATATTGCCGCGAATCAGCATTGGTGCTGAAGTATTGGAAACCACCTCCCGCTTCTGCTACTTTTGGAGTGTGATGTCGACTGACCAGCAGCTACACAGTGAGCTTCGTATCCGCGTTTCGAAAGCAGCGGCGGCATTCGTGACGCTAGAGTACCGAGTGTGGAACAACCATCAGCTTACCTTTGGCACGAAGCTGATGGTGTACAAATCCATGGTGCTGTCCGTTCTTCTATACGGCAGTGAAACGTGGACGATGTCCTGGTGGGATATGGGATATCTCGAGCGGTTCCATCAGCAGTGTCTGTGACGGATTCTGCGCATCGGATAGGGCGACATAGTTGCTGACACGGTGTTGCGCCGAAGTTGTATGTATGCAGTGGACTGCATACTTTGCTGAGACACCTGAGGTGGCTCGGTCTTTTGTGGGATATGGATTTGACGCAGTTACCGAAGCAGCTATTATATGGACAGCTGAGTGTTTGGAAACGGAATGCAAGGAAACCGAAGATTCGTTATCAGGACATGATTAAAGTGAGCCTCTCCCGTTCTAATCTCCATTGCAAGTCATGGGAATCGAAAGCAGTTGGTCAGCGTGCATGGCGCGATCTGATCAGGAAGGCAGTTGCCGAAGTGCAGGAGAAAGACCTCATGCATGCGGAGAAGAAGCGGTAGTTGCGGGAGCGGCAAGCACCCATGGGTTGTACTCCATCGACATCGAGCGCATGGTGCTGTAGCACATGCGGTTGTGAGTGCCTTAGTCAGGCAGGCCTAGTGAGCCATGAGCCACTCCGGGTTAACAACGAAATGACGGCGGGTCCTGCAGAGAACATAGGCAAAACCGGCACAGCGTTTGTATGTACGCTGCATTTGATTTACTAATGACGTGCTTACATGATGCATCTCCTTATTTCAGGTGGTGGGTTTGCTATATTGTCTCTTTATTGCCTACGTGAACTATCTATTAACTTGCACACGTCACTCAAGTTAATTGTAGTTAACGTTGATAACGTTTTCGCATTTTTGGCATTTTCTTACGATATATTTTCCGATGTTTTGAACATCTGGTGTATATTTTGGCAACCACTTTGTTTCATATGCTCATTTAGTGAATAGCTATGTCACCATATCTGTATGCATTATTCGATATGTTTCATTTGATGGCGTCGTCTCATGTGATTGGCTGTTGTTTGACATACCCGGTGCGGTTGCGCTTGATGTGCATGTTGGGAAGGTGCCTGACTCGAAGAGTGGTTCCATGCACTCAGTGTGGAGCGGAATACGGTCCAGCCACCGCGTTGTGTGCGCTTGATCCCCCAAATACAGCATGATTGTGTTTGCATGTGAAGGAGTGTGGGCCGGCTCCGTTGATGAAACGTGATTCCCATCCACATGCCTCCTGGTCTTATTCCTTCGGGTTTACATTGGATATGGAGTGTGTGGATGGAGCTGTAGGTGGTGCAGCGCAAGCCATCCATGGTCCCTCTGTAGGCGCAGTCGTCCTTTGGTTGGCCACAGTGGCAGGCAAATCCGAAACCGGATGCCGCCAACCATATTCAATACTTGGCAAGTATAGAATTGACGCAGTGTCACAACACGAGTTATAACAACAAAGAGGAGAAACGGCAATCAGAGTAGCAACACGGGCCTGTTTTCGCAGCAATACAAGCGGTCTGTTCGCACCGCAGCGTTTTAGACCACTTTTTAATATGTAGCTGAGGTCGCGTCGTTGCCAACAATATCGGAGGTTGGCAAAGGCTACTCTGGCTTTGGAGAATTGCAAATTGAGATCCGTTAATCCGCTCGCGCCAGTGCAACTCCCAAGGTAAACGTACTTATCCACTTTCATTGAAAATCCGTAAAGGATGAGGGTAGGAGCGACTTCTAACAAGTCCTGATGAAAAACATTGCACTTAGAGGAGCACAAGGTGATTTCGAGCTGTGACACTAGCATATCAATGCGAGGAGTGATAGATTACGGCAATGTCTTCAGCATACTCCAAGTCGCGTAGTCACCCGGGTTTAACTTGATTCTACTAGGCCAACAGTTTTCCAGATCACCATAAGGTGTTATGCATAACGAAGTTGCACTAGAACGGTGATGCGAAGCAACCTGTCTCCAGCCAAAGGTGAAACTAAAGGTGTGGTAAAAATCCGCCGTACGCCGACCCTCTGCTCAAGGTTCTTAAATAACTGGATTGAAGAATGTTAAGTACTTCTCCAGCAGCCCCCTTTTCGACATACAAATTCAGAGAACAGTTCTTTCAGCTGAATCAAATGCTACACGTGTGTTTAGGAAGCAAACGATAGTAGGCCGGCTGAAAGCTTGAAGGTGCTCGAGCATTTGGTGGATTGTAAAGATTTGATCATTACAGCAACCTGATCGAAACCCGGTCTGCTCTCAACGTATGTGCTGTTCGGGTACTCGAATGAGTCTCCGATAAAAAAGGGACGCGAGCACTTTGGACGCAAGGCATAGAGCGATGAGCTCTCGCCAGTTTGTGCAATCTCTTCGGTCATCTCTTTTGAAGATGGGGACAGTGTATGCTAAGTCGGCCGGCGGCCGAGTGGTCTGCACGTTTGCTTTGCAACCATAAGGTCATCGATTCGAATCCGCGTAGGGGTGGGCGTCCTCGCGGTATACTCAGCCCGCGCGCGACTGGTGGTGGTTGCGCGGCAGCGAAGCGCCGTTACGGCGTACAGCTAACACATTATTATTATTATTATTATTATTATTATTATTATTATTATTATTATGCTAAGCCCCAGTCGGATGGGATAACTTCTGTAGTCCGCATGCGCGGATGAAGGTATCACACAATCAGCGTTGAATGATCTGGTTCAGAGCGCAGCACTCCTTGATATTCTTCGCGCATTATTGAAGTACGACTTGCATTTTCTATGACTAATCGGACACGCCACCAGATTGCAAAAAAACACAGAAAAACAGCTCAGATTGCCCATCCGCTTTAATTCTTTGGCAGCCGCATCACTGTCACAAGCATTTCTACGGCTCATGCAACTTTCCAAGGCATATTTCACCTACGGAAGCGGTGTTATGTAGGCTTAGTGGCCAACAAAATGCCTTACGATGCTGTGTTGCGAAAAATGCTATTGTGTGGATCCCAGACCTGATACTATGGACATCAGAATCTTAATCATTTGTCGTCACTACTACTTGCGATGCGTGACGTATGTTTGTTGGGTAGGGGGAGAAGGAGTAATACCGGTTCGCCATTTGATCAGACTCTTTCGAGGTCGAAATAGGTTGCTTGTTCATCCGGACTCGCTTCAGTCTTGGCTCAGTCATGTAAGCGATTTCTTTGCCAATGATACCTCTTGTTGGGTGAAATTCCGAGGTGCTCAGCCAATAGCATGGCAAATGGACACAAAGAAACTCACGGAAACGCTGCGTTTAGTTGCCATGTGTCATCTTCTCGGTTAGATTCCTTGTGCTCGTCGACATCATTGGTTGAGAACCTCCACCGGTTATGACACAGACATGAAATAGGGATCTACCGTACTTCAGTGCACAGTGCACAATTTAGCGTCCCCTGTACTGGACTGGACTGCCCTTCGGGGCTGCATGTCGAGACCTGCTGCACACGATCGTCGTTCGGATAACAACCAGTGGCTTGTTGACAAAACCTCTGTTATCTCTCAATCTCGCTTACACTTGCACCTTCCTGAGCAGCGCTTACCTGATTAGCACCGCTTTAAAGCGTAACAGACGCACTCAGATCCACATCTTTTGGTTATATTGTCTTTTCATTTGCTTCTTTTTCGATTTGTGTTCTTATGAGTCAAAAGCGTCACCCTCTCTTTTGACGTATTCCTTTACGTCGCATTCCACCGCCTTGCGTAGAATTTTTCAACCAATGTTATTTGGTTGTGACTTGAATCCCGAACTTCGAGATATTAACGTCAGGTGTCTTTGTCGTTTTGCCGCTGGAATCCGCTATCAACGCTTCTTGTCTTGTCGGTTAGTAATGCATTTCAAACTTTTCACTGTGGGTTTGGATCATAGCAAGCAACCTCTAATGTTTTTTTTCTCACTGGAGACATTCTATTGGTCAGCAACTCTGTTGCAGTGACTTCGGAGTAAATCGCGGTCAGAAATGAGGTTGTGTCATTTGTCGAGGCGCATACAGTTGGTTCTCCAGTACTGTAAACTTTTCGTCCTCAGATATGGTGTATCGCACGCGGCATGAAATCCTCAACTATTTGAATTCTATTTATGCTATCATTCCTTATCTTTTTTGTGCCCTCGGGTTTCTCCAGGTCATCACACTGCCTATCGATTTGCGGCTTCATCAATTGCCGAACGTGATAGATGGGTTCGCGCTTTGGAGGCAGTTACTCGGCGTATTAGCGAACGTCGCGGAACACGTAGTATCAGCGTGGATTGTTCCACAAATGGATCGGTTCATCTCCGTCAGACGCACCGTCTGCCATCCCCAGTCGCTTCTGCGGCATCCTCCCTAAGGCGTTCCAACAGCGCAGGAAGTCATCCAGATTTGTCTAGTCAACAATCTATCCTGAAGTAACTTTCCACATGGAAGCGATTTGTTACGGCATGCGACTACTTACCAGCGACACTGCTGCTGTTTGTAATCTCTGAACTGTTCGGTGATGGTGTATCTATAGTACTTTCAATCTTCTGGTCCTCTTCCTTCCTCTGCCACATGTTTGTGTGTGCTGTCCTACACACACACAATAGGCGATGATCTTCCACTTATTATTTGATGTACATAATCTTCCCACTTCGTTTTCACTCCAGTTTAAAGTATCGTTAGGATAAATTTTATTGCGGCTTTGTACCATTCCGTTTGTCTTGTGACTCCTCCCCCCTCTGATCCTCTTCATGCGGTGCCCTACATATGGTTTTCTCCACCCGTTCTCTCTTCCTTCTCGTTACACTGTGTACATACACTGTTATGGAATACAAGATGTTTGATCCTACCATTTACTACCATTTTTGTCTGTCCTGATTGCCGAGTTTGTCTCTCTGTGTGTGTTTCGACGAAACTAGGCTTAGAGGTACTGCGATGGTTTGCATACCTCCATGACGCTGAATGGTACCTCCCTCTTAACGGGTCAATGCTTGGGAATAAGACGAACTCCGTCTCAGCATCCTCTTTTTGGGGATAGTTCGATAACTCTCTTCTTTTAAAACTTAACCATTGGTTATACGTTCTCAGCTCGATTGACGTAGAGCATGAGTGCTCCGTGAGAGAGTAACAACTGATGTTCTGTAATTCCATGCCACATGAATCAATTCGCTTGTTTCCTGGTCAAATTGGTGCAAACCTGTAAACGCACACTGTTATCCGTTGTTACTTTTGCCTAACATACTACAGTCGAAAAGCATGTAATTATTCTAAATCTTCTAAGACTGCTTGTGACATATCTCAATCAGATCCCAATGAATCTCTGCGATCACACTGTCGAGCTGGACTTGCTCACCACTTCCTTGTGGGTCAGGCTATTGAGCCAAAGGCTCCGAATGGAGTCCCTCAAACGAACTTCCATTTACCCTATTGCCTTATGGATCTGTCTGTTGGGTTAAAGGCTAGAGGTAGGGCACCTCGAACAAAACCGGAATGGACAGCAAGGGAGTATCATCTGCCTCTCGACCCCGTCGACAATACTCCCTCTACCTTTTTCTTCCCACTGTCTACCCTCTTCTTTCTCGTCTACCGAGCAAGAGTGCCGCTGACCTTGCAGCTACTACCATAGTTACACATAATCCATCCCCTCGTCTCATTTCACATTGGTTTTTTTAACGTCCGCACTCTGAGTCAGATCGCCCAACAGGAATCACTAACTCCTCTCAATCATCATCATCATCGATACACATTAGCTGAGCGTGAGCTATACACCTCCGCTAATGTGCCGCAATATAAAAAGATAAGATATTAAAAATATACGCTACAAAGAATTTCAAAAGCAAGTATTACAATGTTAATTATTGTATTACGCATTCGTACGAGATTATAATTGGAAGGAGAATCCAAAGGAGAGGGAGATAGACAAAGAAACTCCTAATACAAATGCAAACGGGACCGGCTCTTCGCCATATCAGCAAGTGTGTCCAAGCAAACCTTTTCAGCGTCTTCGGGAGCGCAGTCGGAATACACCAACCCTATGCCAACTTCGAAGGGAGGATTTTCGTTACTCTCAACCAAGTCATCGTTTGGCCTCCCCTCCTTCTCTTCCAACCTCACTCCGGGCGCGCAAACAACGCACGTCACGGGAGTTGGCGTGTTGGCTTGCACTCTCACTTTTCACTCTATTGGTATCTATGTGTGCTCCCCCCCCCTCCGAAATACGCATACAAGATAACAGCGTCGTGACGAGTCTTTGACCCCTTGATGCCGTATCTGCCAACCACTGTGTGCCTGGCGATACTTAGTCAACGACTCAAAGCATTTGCCATGTGGATATTGCCTTCAGGGAACTTGCTGAAGACAGTCTGTCTGACTGGATGTTATTATTGAAAAGCCGCATGTGTGCAGTCCGATTTTGAACTTCTGTTACGATTAATAGTCATCGCCTGAAGACATTGTACATTTCTATCTTTTCGGTTTGCGCTCGCATCGACTTCAAGCATGGCGTAGAATACTGACATCCTGATTGTTGCTGGTGACATGAATGCCAACCTTGATTGCTTTTCGGATTTTGACTTACATCTTTGAGACTGTTTCCTGGTCGTTGCACGCTTTACAGATAGTGTCGATCGATTTCTGCAGCTATGTGCCCACCACGGTCTCCATTTTAACAACACTGCTCTTCAGCACAAACGTTCACATCGTGTCACCTGGCGCCCACTGTGTTCCTCGATGATTTGGACCCAAATTGACCGTATTGCTATCAGTTACAGGCAGCACACATCAGTCCAAGATTGTCGGTCCATTTGGAGCACGTGTTAGTCTTCAACCATGCCCTAGTGCGCGTTTCATTTTTTCGGCTTCATCAAAGAACCGAACTGATGTTCTAATCGCTTGTAACCTAGACTCCGTCCGCATTTCACTAGTTGTCAATCACGAATGAGGTTGGCGTGGCAAAATCAGATTGTCTTAGATGTGGCATAAGGAATGCTTTTCAAGTCTGCTGTTAAATGAATTTCTAGGGTATCGATTATTTTGTCTGAAGAACGTAAACAGTATTCTTTGGATTCTTGACTTCATCGTGCCCTTAAAGCCTTGAAAGGCCGATTGACAAGAAGCCTTCGAATTGGCCGAGAACATTGGTGAGTGACAATAGCCCGTGAAATGGAGAAAGCCAGTGCTATTCGGGACAGCGGAGTGCTCTTCCAGCTCATCCGGAACATGGGTACAAGAAATCCATCAGTTACTTAGTAACTGAGAAAGATGGACATTTGATCCATTTTCAGAGGCGTCGGCTAATCCTTCAGACTACTGGTGCTATGATTTTGCAGCGTTCTATTTGGTCCACCAAATCCTCAGCCATGATCACGTCCACCATCTTTAAGAGCCCAATGAGGTAGACCCGCTTGATTACACGGTTTTCACATAGTATTCAAGTGCCTTTGGAAGAAGTGCAATAAGTGCTCATCCAGCGTCTTGCTTCTACCCTCAGTGCATTCGGGTGAGCTATAGCTACGCAGGGGGAAGCGATTTCCTCAACGTGGAGTTCCGAAGGTGGGGGCAATGTGTGTGTGAGTGTGGCAGCACTGGCGGATATCACTTTGGAAGGCCGCAGCGTACTGTATCCTTAGATCATTGGCTACTTCACTGTTGTGCGGCACTCCAATTGTTGTGTCAAGTGGGGGAGTACCTCGCTTCAGTTTACGAATGCTGTTAACGTGATTGTGTAGCAGCTTTTTTGGAAAATTTGCAATCCGAGTTTTACTGGGTAATCCGCATTGTCCCCGCCAACTGGCGCATTACATTGATTGCGCTTGGTCACCTAAATCGTTGCACTTTTTGGCACCAGTGCGGGCTATGTAAGTATGCTACGCGGCATCCCTTACTGCTTACTGACAAACCATATCTGGATGACAGCTCTTCTTGGATCCAACCCAGTGGCTATGCTAGCACTACTGAATAGGATTATACGGGCTACTACACGCTTTGGTACGTGCCCCGTAGCTTAGTGGTGTTCAACCATCTTTTTTGACGGTAAGTCGTATAAATGTCAGTTTTGAGCAGAGTGTATAAGTCTGCGATAAGACTGATGTTGTTGCATAAATCAGAGACCTGTCAGTTTTGCACTGAAGACCGTTTTTGATCTTCATTGCTTTCTGAGTATTATTCACATCTGTTGGGAACACCAAGTAAGCAATGCTGAGGTTCCTCTGTTGGTATTTGTTAAGAAACTGTCTTGTGTTTCACTGGACTGTCTGTCGAATTTCGCTCGTTCACTCCGCACTGAATTGCACGTTACCGCAGTCAGAGGACAACACCGAGCCACAAACCTTCTAACCTAAGCCGCGATGAACTTTTGGCAATATAAGCAGTGTTGTCTGTGTATTTGTGCGCGCATAGCATGGGCAGAGTGAGAGCATACGGCAAGCTGTCGCCACCCTTCAGTATCTCCAGCGGTGTGAGACAAGGATGCCCGCTGTCACCTTTCCTTTTCAACTTCGCTATTGACGAAGTCATGGATATTGCATTTACAAGACATGACTTAGAAGGTGTGGAGCTACTCCCAGGAGAACGACTTCTTGAATTGGATCATTTAGACGACATTGCCCTCATATATGACAGCTCTCAGATGATCCAAGCCGCGCAATACAGATTAGCACTGGCTGTCAGTCGCTTCGGGTTTTGCTTTGCACCATCGAATTTGGCAAAGCGTTCCTCCAAAATTGGCAGGGATCGCCTACTGCGCTGACCCTTGGTGAAGACCTGCTAGAAGTCATTCAGAAATTCAACTAACTGGGAAGTTGTATCAGCGTCCTTGGGATTGAAGATGAGATCACGAACCGGATAGCAAAAGCTCGACGAACTTTTGCTAACCTTCGCCACCTATGGCGGCGGCGTGACATTACTCTCGCCCTGAAGGGTAGAGTGCACAACGCAGCGGTACGTTCGACCTTACTGTATGGTTTTGAAACCTGGCCCCTAAGATCGGTGGACATGAAGAAGCTAGTTATGTTCGACAATCGGTGCCTTCGCAATTTAGCTCACATCTGGTGGGAACACCGCGTGAGTAACGAACGTGTTCGACGCCTTCTCTACGGCACAGAAAAAGGAACTGAACCGCTCAGCACCGTAATTTCACGCACCAGGCTCCGATGGCTGGGCCACGTGTTGCGCATGACAGCCCACCGACTTCCGCGACGTGCGTTGTTTGCTTACCGGGGATGTGGATGGAAGAAGAGGAGGGGTGGCCAAGCGATGACTTGGTGGAGAGGAATTTAAGCCCTTACTTCGGAGCTGGCATGGGTTGGAGCGTCACGGCTCTCTGATTGGGGTCCAAAAGACAGTGAACACGTTTAGCTGAATACACTTGCTGACATGGCAAGGAGCCGACCTCAGTGGTGTTCATGCTGTGAGTTTCTTTGTCCCTCCCCATCTCTTTTAGCCTCCCCCTCCATCTACGATCTCATTTCGTAGCATAAAACATAATCATTTTGCATAGTAGCCGGCTGGTAGCTTACCGGAACGATGCCTATCCGTTGCTGGTAGCTCAGCTGGCATGCAACTTTTGTATTTATTTTCCTCTTCCTCTACGAATTGCGGCACAGTAGCTGAGGTGTTTCCCACCTCTAGCTGACGTGTATAATGATGATATTGATGTCTGTGTATTTGACTTTGATGGTATGGGTTGCAATTCATCCCATATAGACTCCGTCAGATAGCCGCCATATGTCCAGAAAAACAGTGGACTGCCGTTTCATCTTTTCAGGGAATCAGTGCGCATTCCTTAAATCAAATACGAAGACCAAACTGGTCATAGGCCAAAGGTTAATTGCGGCTTAATTTTAGGGGTTCGTTGCCCAGTCCTGTCTTCTGCTCGGCAGTAACCTGTATGACGGCTGTCTAACTGAGTCTAGATGTGACAGATTTCGACTTAAACCACTTTCATTGAGTCGGTCATGTGCTGTGTAGACCGGTTGATGAACTCCTTCCGTGCTGTACGTTATACCCTCTCGCTGCATCAACTTGGCCGGAACAGCAAGGTGATCAATCGCTGACGCGGCGTAATGGCGTGATTAAGTTAACGAAGACATGATCAGGTTCGTCCATGGGCACATCGGGGTGGGACACACACATCGCTGCTTAGAGATTCTATCGGACACGGTGAAGTCGCGCTCCTGCATCTTGCTGTGAATACGACCGCTTCTTTGTATTCTGTTTGCGTTGTAATTCAGTTTATTATTGTTGTTAATATACTAATTTCACTTAAGATTGGACGTTTTACATACCAAATCGGACGTTTAGCAAACCAAGTTGGGCCTACTGCATTCTAAGCAGAAAATCAGCAATTTATTAGTAAGAAATGAAGAGTAAGGCGACTGAACGAGGTTCAAGCCACATAGTGGCCATGCCAATGCAATGGAAATATGCGAGCAGCGGGCGGTTATGCAAGCACTGCTTTTAATCATGGGTGTCGTTCACCTCGTTCAAAGGCAGTGACCCAGTTTTCCCCTGTCTCTCTATACGCCGCGTGTTTTGTATGAGTGTACGGGCGAACTTGTGCAACTCCACGACTATTGGAACGATGTAAGCTGTTATGACCACCAAACCCGGCCTGGCTTCCTTAGCGTTGTGCTGTACGAAATGACCAAGATGAGCAACGAACGACTAGAGGATGCATTGTCGACGTAGCGATGCTGCAATTAAATGTCATCGGCACAGAAAGAGATCCTTGCGAAGCTTGTGTTCGTAGACGGCAAACTCACCCACCAAACTGCTGAAGTCCCCGATGTCCACGAGAGCACGGCAAGAAACATCATCAATGCCCACAGACCAGAAAGTACCTATACTCAGCGCAAATATGGAGGAAACAACAGGGAGAACCTGACTTCCGATATCCTGCAGCGCGTTGAAGAGACCGTTGAATGGCATTCCAAAGTTGGAAGCGTCGACGTCACGCCTGATGACCATCCCGACGCATAACCACCGGCTAAGTGCGGTCATTCAAGAGAAGGTTGGAATGGTGACCCAGCAGGAGTGCATGAACTGCGTCACCAGTGTGATGCTGAAACCAGCAAACGCTTTAGCCGGACAGCCCTTCATTAACTGGTCGTCTTTAATGTTACTGCTTTCTTGTTAATACACCATTTTCAATTTAAAGTGGGCGTTTTTCAAACCAAACTGCCGAGGTCAACATGTAAGAGTTGGGGTATACCGAGATGTCGAGTGTGTAAGCCCCCTGACTTGCGATTGTCATGGCACTGTTGACGCGGTCTAGCTCGTAGTAGCCCTACTTGAGCGTAATCTTTAGCCTTCTGAAAGCGTTAAGCCCCATTTTCTCTCAGCCGCTGCTTCAGCTGGACTAAAGTGTCCTTGGAATACCATTCAACGTTCTCTTCAACGCGCTGCAGGACATTGGGAGTCAGGTTCTCCTCCTTGTATCCTCCACATTTGTGCTAAGTATTGTTACTTTCTGATCTGGGCAGTGATGATATTTTTTGCCGTGCTCTCGTCGACATCGGTGACTTCAGCAGCTTGGTGAGTGGGTTTGCCGTCTACGAACACATGCTTCGCAAGGATCTCTTTCTGTGCCGATGACATTTGTTTGCAACGTTGCTACCTCGTCAATGCGTCCTCTCGTCGTTCGTTGCTCACTTGATCATTTCGTACAGCACAACGCTAAGGAAGCCAGGCCGGGTTTGGTGGAGTCATAACACCTTACATCGTTCCAATAGTCGTGGAATTGCATAAGTCCGCCCGCACACTCATACAAAACACGCGGCGTATAGAGAGACAGGGGAAAACTGGGTCACTGCCTTGGAACAAGGTGAACGACACCCACGATTAAAAGCAGGGCTTGCATATGGCCACTATGTGGCTTGAACATCGTTCAGTCGCCTAACTTCTCATTTCTTGCTAATAAACTGCTGATTTTCTGCCTAGAATGCAGTGTGACTGACTTGCTATTTGGTAAGCAAAACCTTTAATGTAAACATCCGTTGCATCTCTCTGCTCGGATCATAGTTGCGAAATTGAACTAAGGGAGCTAGTGTGCGAGTACCTAGGTTACTTCACTACATGTAAACTCTTGGACCACCTTTATCCATGTGCGAAAACACTATAGTGATATGTTGTCTTGCATACTAGATCACAGCGATACCTGTTCTTTTGTACGGCTATGAGACTGGGTTTCTCAATTCTCTGGATCGCAAATACCATCAGATTTCTATATCTTGTCGACCTTGGAGAATTGCCCGAATCGGATAGTACCGGGTTTTCCGTAACAATGAGATAAGCAGGGTGATATTGAGTCTTCTCCCTCTGAACCCTGCAAAGTGCCACATTCTAGTGTTGCATATCAAGTTCATTTATGCCTACTGATTGGAACAGATCATTCTATACCGCCAAACCGGTTTAAGGTACCTATCGTTCATAAAGAAGTCTAGAAAGTTCTTTCCAACGTTCGAGCGCATCATATGTGACAGCTATGAACCTAGGACTTCTGCGGCTGGCTCTCTGTACCTTCGAACGACAGCTAGTCCCCATATTGATCAAATCGTTTATTCATCCCCACGTCACGTATGTGGTTCTAGCCTAGTGTCCATAATTAAAACAAGACATTTGTCTCCCGAATTAGCAATACGAAGATCATCTGATATCATGCATGAACTGCGTCTTCGTTTAACTGGTTTGTTCTCTTCAGAATACCGACGATTTCGCGAAGATCTCATTCTCGCATACCGGGTACTGACGGAGAATGCTCATCCAGGTGAATCATTGTTGATCCTTGCTTCTTACACCCGATATCGAATCCATGACTTGAGACAAATAGCCCAATATTCCTGCTTTGCCCGTAGAAAGTTCTTTTGCGCTCTTCGAATCTGTTCACACTCTAATACCTTACCAGAACATGTGGTGAATACATCAAACGTCGTTTCCTTCGAAACACTGTTTGACATTCGTCTTCACGCTATGCGTCTTAACATTGTGATATCTTGCCTTTTCCATCCTGTAGGTTTTGTAAAATTGCTACTTTTTATACTAGCATACACGATTGAACCAAAACTTAGCAAACGCACTCAAAGAAGACGTATTAGTTCGGATACGCGTTATCAATACACGTTAGCTGAGGGTGAGAAACGCGACTCACCTAATGGGCCTCAATACCAAAGAGATAATGTACTAAAAAGTTTACACTACAAAAAATTCAAAAAGTAAGTAATATAGTGCTGACTATTATTATTATTATTACGCATTTGCTGTGATATCGTAATTGGAAGGGGAATCTGAAAGAGATGACGATGGAGAAAGGAATTCACAACACAAATGCCATTGGGGCTTTCTCTTCGCCATATCAACAAGTTTGTTTAACCAATCGTGCTCACTTTAATTGAGGGTGAGAAACGCACCTTGGGTAATGTACCGCAATACAAAAGAATATGATACTAAAACTTTACACTTCAAATCATTTAGGTAGCAAGTAATTATAGTATTCAGTTTGCGTGAGCTTTTAAAAAGACAAAAGATGTGCCTAATCTACTCCAATCACCATGTGCGTTGTTCGCAGATGACTTGAAGGTGTGGAGAGTAATCCGCACACTCAATGATTGTGATTTACTTCAGCAGGATCTCGACAGCCTCTCAACATGGTCTGCAGAGGTTAACCTTCCGATCAACCCTGCTAAGTCGCAATTTATGAGGTTGGGTAAGTGTGAGCACAGCCGAACGTACACAGTGGCTGGTCAACCGCTGCATCCCGCGTCTTTCGTGCGCGACATCGGTGTGCTCTCACGCTGCGACCTAAAGCCCATTAACAACACGAATAGGCTGTACCAAAACAGCCTTCGGATGCTTTGGGCGCTCAGGCGCAGCTTCAGCACTTGGTCAGAAGGGATTACTACTCGCCTCTTCGTCTCGATAATACGACCAATGCTAGAATACGGCTCTCCCGCGTATTATCCCATCACGCTGGGAGAGGTAGAAAAGCTTGAGCGGGTGCAGCATGTAGCCACTAGGCTGATTCCCAACTTACGAGGTATGACATATGAAGACCGATGTAAGAAACTAGGGCTGTACACCCTAGCATATCGTCGGCTGAGGGTTGACCTAATCATGACGCACCGGATATTACATCATAGTGAATACCCCATGTTGAGACAACTGCTTCATTTACGCACACCAAGCGGCACACGAGGACACCGGTACAAACTTATCGTACCGCAGTTGAAGCGGGTAGCTCACCAACTCTGTTTTGAACGTAGAGTGGTAAATACCTGGAACAAACTGCCGCAGCCGGTAATAGAGGCGAACTCAGTGGCCGAATTTAAGAAGCTACTAGACAAACATTTTGCAGAGGTAAAATATAAAGAGCGGAACGATAATTAATACGTTAATGTCCAAGAGCGACAATTGATGCAGCTACACAGAGTATGCTCTACTCGCTGCTTCTAATCAGTATCAGTATCAGCAATAAGCCGGTAAGAAGTACCGACGCTTCGCTACCGTGCATCACCACCTGTCGCTCGTTGGCTGAGGATATTTCGAGAGTCGCTGTGTTCCTACGCAGACTCGGACCCGCGCCGTCAGAGTATAAGACAAACTCATTACTTTTACGCTACGGGGAATCGAAAGGGAATGGGGTAGACAAAATAGCTCACAACACAAATGCCATTGCGGCCAGCTCTTCGCCATATCTGTAAATGCGTGCAACCAAACGTGTTCATCGTCCTTGGTACCGCATCTAGGCAACCCGGATGCACCAGCCGATGCCAACTTCGAAGTGAGTATAGCTGGAAGTGCTTAGTTTCTTCACCGGGCGCCATCTACTACCTGTAAAAGAGTACCGCAAGTTGTCGTTTTGCAACAGGATGATCTTTGGGGGATATGCGGTACTACCTAATGTATCCAGAACAAAACGATCTTCCAGTGCTTTTCCGGTTATGTGGCGATTGACTTCCATTGGTATGATCAGAATGCACAACTTCTTCCTGGTACATAGACCTACTAAAAATTTGATTTACAGTGCCATGGAGCAACTGGTTTGGTTCGGTGCGTGTCCGGTACCATGCAGCCTCTGTTTATGTTTATCAATACAATCGGATGTTGCGAAAAAGTTGCTTCGGCCTCGTACAACACCAGTCTAACATTCTAGGTTGTTTTTGTTAGCCGTGTGTCAAATTTTTATATCAGCTGACCTCACTCTTCGTGTGTGCCTTGTTCGCCAAGTGATCTGGCAGCGAAACACTCACCCGGCTCAAGTTTGACGTTGTGTATCGAGACGGATCCATTTTCAGCATTTACACCATCTCTGAATTTAGCAAAATATGATATCAATCAAATATACGTTAACGAACGCTAAGAGGTTTGTGCAGTTGTCCCTCTGTTGAATGGTCGCGCACCATGCCGATGGATTTTCAAGTTGACTTTTAAGCATGGCAGTTGAAGTAATATACTATTACGATGTGGGTTGTGGATAAATTAAGCTTGCTCTTTCGGTTGCGTTTTCTCCGCACCAGTATATAGGGGGCATATTCGCTACGAAGGAGTCAGTTGAGATTTAGACACTGAAAATAGCTTTAGTTACTCTGCCTCATCCGGAAATAGATTTTGTCCACTGCGCGGTCATATATTGTGTAGCGTATTTTAAGGAGGCCAGGGAATGCAACGGGAGAACAATTAGTTTTTTGTGTAGGTTCGTCGCAGTTAGACACAGGCAGACAACCAGCACACATCCAGAAAAGCGCTAGACGGCCGTTTCGTCCTATTGGGACTCGTCAGTAGCGCGCACCCGCCGAATCCTTCCGGACTCGAACCCACGACCTTACACATGCGAATCAGTGACTTATATCACTGAGCCAGGGGCGACGGCGGCGGACCGCCATGACTGATATCTAACTCCGATAAAGCGTGGCCCATCTTCCACTGTCTTGCATGTTGAGTGTGCAGAGGACAAGGCTGGTCCCCAAGCTACGACTAATTTTGCATTGCTTCACAAATCGAGGTGGCAAGTATGCTGCTAAGGGCTCAGAGACATAAGTCCATGACTTGCAAGTGTATGGTCGTAAGTTCGAACCCGGCAGGATTCGGCGGGTGCGCGCTACTGACAAGTCCCAATAGGACGAAACGGCCGTCTAGCACTTTCATGGATGTGTGGTGGTTGTCTGCCTGTGTCTAACTGCGACGAACCTACTCAACAACACCTAATAAATCCTCATACTACTTACAAATAATCAGTAGTCGCCTTGGCAGCTTACATGCCATGTCGATTGGTGGCGGCTTGCAAAGAAAGTCGTTGCGCTGGGGGTCAGCCCTGTCCTCTGCACATTCACAACCTGCAAGACAGTGGATGATGCGCCGCGCTATAGCGCAGTTAGATATCAGTCATGGCGGTCCGCCGCCGTCGCCCCTGGCTCAGTGACATAAGTCGCTGGTTCGCATGTGTAAGGTCGTGGGTTCGAGTCCGGAAGGATTCGGCGGGTGCGCGCTACTGACGAGTCCCAATAGGACGAAACGGCCGTCTAGCGCTTTCTTGGATGTGTGCTGGTTGTCTGCCTGTGTCTAACTGCGACGAACCTACACAAAAAACCTAATAAATCCCTCTACTACTTAAAACAATTGGTTTATTGGAGGAGTGTGTGCATACATTAACACATAAGTCAAGCCAGTGGACATTGAAAACATTTTAAAGTTGCCAACATGCAAGGTTAGCCTTCTGACTGCGAAATGCTTGGCAGAAATATATGGTACAAAAAGACACCAATAAGTGTGGCAGTTTGGTTGCAGTCAACTGATCTGATGGGAGACATTTCTGGCGACATGTAACCCGTCATCACCAAGGCCCGCAATACATTTAGACGCACAAATGGTCAAGGAGCTGGTTGATGACCGTCCCCCAGTTCATTGTATCGTCGTTGAGGGTGTCTCAACAATGAGTACGCCGGGATAACATTGTTGGTTTACTTGCATACCATGGACAATACGGAAAGTTATTGTGTTCTTGAAAGAAGTAGTAAAGTATGGAAGTGAATCGAAAAACACGGAAGTAGGTGGTTTGTACCATTTGGCCGGGAAGGGATGTGGGTGGCTTGTAAAAGTCGTTCATTATCCTGTACGCATTTTCATGGACTATGTTCTCAAATATCAATCTGAGCAGATCTGATCTTTGCTAGCTTGCAAATGCGCCTAACTAGTATGGGCACAAACTGTACAGTCCATGATTTTGTATCCAATTTGCACGCTCCGACGTGATGCACTCGATATCGATCGCGGAATACCTTAGGCGAGTTGATTTGTGTTGCCATCGTAATCGCTTGCGAAAATCAGTAAGGTAAATAAATTTTCGAGAACTCGCGGAAGCCCGCATATTTTGGAAAACACTCTTGGGATATACAGATAAGTAACTTATTCTCGAATTCATCAAGGTGACCATATAAGGCACGCTTAAAATTTTACAGGCATTCGTTCGCAACAGGTACGTTACGTACGTTGGGTAGATGCCTAAATGGTATCATCATCATCATCATCCTTATTGTACACGTTAGCTAGAGCTGGGAAACATCTCAGCTACTGTGCCGCAATACATAAATGAAAAAGGAAAATAAGTACAAAAGTTGCATGCCACCTGAGCTACCAGCAACGGATAAGCATCGTTCTGGTAAGCTACCAGCGGGCCACCAGGCAAAAAAAAATTATTATGTTTTACGCTAAGATATGAGATCGTAGGTGGAGTGGGAGGCTAAAAGAGATGGGGAGGGACAAGGCAACTCACAG